CGCAGGGTTTTCCTGCCCTCGGCCTCCGCCGGCCCCGGCAAACAAAACGGGCTGTTACCCTAAATCCGGGCTTAAAAGAACCCTCTAAGCTTAGTTTGAAGTTTTAGAAGGGCAGGCGTCTGCATTGCAGCGCTGGAGGCACGGGGGATCCCCCCACCTGATGTGATGCCGAAACACAAAGGCACGCTTATTATATACAATTTTTAAAAAATGAATATTCGTGTAATTTCTGAAAAGTACACACCTATTCCCAGAGAATCTAATGCATATGTCAATGCATTGTGCGACAGTACTAAAATTTGGGGAAGGGTCTCTGAGGGGCTTCCAAGGGGGTTTTTGGGGCTCTGCGGTGGTCCCCAGTGGTTGTTCAGGAGATGTCTCCCATTCCTTTCCATGAACTCTGAGTCTTTTTTTCATGTAAGATCTTGTCTTGGCTCATTGCTCTGTCTGTAAAGTTTCTCAGCTTTCTTATCTGTGGCTCCCACAGGTGTCTGTTGGTTCCTCTGCCCTGGCCTGGATGTACCCATCACAGTGGCAAAAATTACGTCCTTGGGTGCGTTCTTGTCTGAGGCCCCTTACAGCAACGAGCACCAACGGCTTGTGGGCATCAGGGCCTCCCGGTGAGGAAAATCCTCTCCTGCTGCTGGCACCCGAGGGTGCTCCTGGAAGGGCAGACAGGGGTCTTCAGCTCGCAGCACAGCCTGATACCAGCAGGGACACTGGGGAGCTCCTGGCAGGACCAGAGCCTGCTTGGGAGTTGGAGTAAAGAAAATAAAAATGAGAGCTCTCCCTTATGTGCAGCAGCTCCCACGCACCAGCTGTCTATAAATGACCATTAGCACATGTACCAACGACGCCACAGCTCCCAGGCTCCATCGGTAACAGAACCAGAGCCTGGGCTGGCTGGTTTTGGGGGCCTGGTGCTGGGGAGAATCAAGCAACTGTGTTTAAAAATTGAGACAGACTGAAGAAGTAGGTGATAGAAGTGTGGCTACTCCAGTCTTTTCTTGCAGAACTGGGTTCTCTGCTGCTGGTGTGGCTGGGCAGACCCTTGGTCCCCTGCAGAGCTGGTGAGGTTTGAGTGCTTGCTGATGCAAGTAGGAAAAAAATCTTTAATTATAAGTTCTGAAGTTATTTCAGAGATGAACCTGAGTGCTATGCAAACAGTTTAACTGCCCTAAACTTCCACTAGGAGTTTGAGGGAAGCTCTGAAAAGGATGGTGTGCAGCTTCACTCCATGGAGGTCTCTGACGCTGTGTTGGAGAAAAGCTCAAGCCCTGGGTGCCGAGTACAGCGACCTCCACAGCCTTGCTCTTGCTTTAGAGATGCTGGAGCTCATCCTGGGATATTCTGGAGGGTAATTTCACCATGGACCTTGCCAGCTCTCTGCAACGTCCTGGTTTAGATGGTGGCTTGGAGCTGTGATGCAAGGTGGGATCCCAGGACTGGGTTTGGCAAGACTCATCAGCCGGTGCCTGCAGTTGGGGTTACAGGGTGGAAGATGAAGGTGCATGGGGGGAGTCTTCGCGGCCCCTCAGGCGGGGAGAGCTCTGGCCCCAACGGGGCTCGCTGCAGGGGGAGCCCCTCCCTGACTGCCTGGGACTTGAATTTCCCTAGGAAAAGCGGTTTGGGTTTGGTTTTTTGTTTGGATTTTTTTTTTTGCTTTCTCAGCTGAGACCTGAAGAGGGCCCCCGGCACTCACTGCTGAGGTTGCCGGGGCAGGGAGCCAGGCTGCCCTCTCTGTCTGCCCCTGCCTGCCCCTCCAGGGGCTGTCACAGAGAGCATTAAAACATCTGCTCCAGCTGTGCAAAGGCACAGGGATGAGGTAACTCCCGGGGCACCCCTATCCTGGGAAGCTGCTCTTCTTCCTGACTGGTCTGGTGTAATCGCCGATACCCTGTCCCAAAAATACAGACTAAAGGGAGCTCAGGCTACTCTTATCTCTGTCTTGGACATTAGCAGCATCAACACAATTTTATTTTGTAAATTAGTTTACTTAAGTACCTCCAGTGCTGCTGCTTGTGAAAATGAAGACGTTATTCTTGATAACTTGAGACAGGCTGCGCTGTGTGCACCATGAGTACTGAAATGAAGCAAGCTGACCCTTCCCCTATACCTAAAGCAACGTGGGAAGGGGTTTCTGGTGTATTAGTCCATGCGAGTCCTAGAAAAGCCACAGTATTAGCCTATCTAAGTCAGAGACGGCCTCTTACACCTTCCACAGATCCACAGATGTGGTCCCTGGGCCTTGGACCTTCCCCCAAGCAGGTGAAGGTGTACGAGCTGCCTGCAACTGCTCTGCAGGTGATGTGCTGCAAAGCGACCTCCAGACTGCTTTGCCGTTACCTCCTGCCCGGATCCCAGGGACTGAACAGTGCTGTTGGTGCAGGGTGAATAAAACAGGAGACCTGGACAGGGCAGCCTTGTGCTGATTCTTGCTGTGTAAGATCCACAAGCCCCAACACAGATCACCGGTGTCAAAGGTAACTTTTATTGTTTGTTTGTTTGGGGTTTTTTGGGTTTTTTTTGTTTGTTTGGGTTTTTTTTGGGTGTGTGTGTGTTTGCTTGGTTTTGGTTTTTTTGTTTGTTTTTTGTTTGGTTTTTTTTTTTTGTTTTGTTTTGTTTTTCCCAGCAGAGCTTCAGTGTGGAAGTGCATTGTCTGCTATAGGTCAGTTCAGCAGCATAAGCCTGATCAGAGCAATGGAGCCAATTCTGGTCAGCCTATGCTCCCCCCAGTCATTTCCTCTTCCCTACTGCCAGTTCACCTGTTTGCTTTTTTAGCTGGGATGCTTGTAGGTACAGGCAGAAAGGCAAGGCCTGTGTTTTGGGGGAGATAAGTTGCAAAGCAGAATTCCTGATTGACTACAACCCCTGGAAAAGGGGGGATTTTGAACACTGCTTTTGGAGCTCAGTACTGGTGTCACTCAAATTGAGACCTGAGACACTCATCACAGCAGTGGGCCAGTATGCTCCAGGACAGACATCTGTGTTAGTCTGTGCTGGTGGGCTTCCAAATGAGTGGAAATGGCAAGGCTGGACATGGATGGGATTTCCAGCAAGGTAGGCTCCCAAAAGCTCTGGGAGGAGGAGGCAGTGTTGGGTGAGAGTTGACTTTCTGTCCCAGCGTGTTCTGGAAGGTGCTGGGTGCTGCTGCAGCTGCTGGCTTGTCCCTGAGGCTCAGCTGTCTCATGCTTCCCTAAATAGAATGGAAAAGGGTCTGAGCACTGTGGCAGGGGTCAGCCATCCCAGCCGTGGGCTTTTTTAGCATGAAACCCCCCATTCCTGCTCCCCACACCCTGTGCAGCTCTGCAGGTAGAAGGAAGTGGGGATTTGCCCTGGTGGGTGGGAGAGGATCCCCTCTCCTGCAGAGGGGTGCTGCCCACTTGCACGCCAGTGCCCCCCTGAGCTGGGCTGGCTGCCGGGGACCCTGGCTCCCAGCCCTCCCAGGCACTGTATAACTCGAGGGGGGGACGAGGAGGGGGACAGGCTGCAGTGGCAGGTGACGCTGACAGACAGCAGGAGCTGCCAGCTCCTGCCCAAACTTGGAGCAGGAGACGAGCTCTTTCCCGAGTTACACAGACTCTCTGTGGTGCTGGCTGACTTCTTTAATTCTTATATTTTGTTGATTTTCTTTCTTCAGTTAATTGACTGGTAAGGATCTACAGCTGTGGGAAAAGCTTCTGAGAAGCCACAGCTTTGAGGAGCGATTTAGATCTTCATTTTCAAAATTCTTCAGCCCGGTAAGCTGCTTTTGTCAATGTGTGTGTTCATTACATGTCGATCCCATGGTAAAACTCAGCTTGGTGGAGTAGGCAGGTGACCCTGGTGACACAGGCAGTTGAAAATGGGACACAAATTGTTGTTTTTCCTTAAAGCTCTCCAGATGGAGGATCCCATCCAGCTGAAAGAGGAGGGCAATAAATATTTTCAGGCCAATGACTATGAGAAAGCTGTTCAAAGCTACACTCAAGCCATGAAGCTCAACAAGGACAAGGCATTGCAGGCGGTGCTGTACAGGAACAGAGCAGCATGTTTCCTTAAAAAGGTGAGAAAAGCTTCCGGATTGCCTGGGCAGTACTCAAGGAGAGAAGACAAGGGAGGCAGCCAAGGACACTCGCCAGCTGTGGATTGTGTGGTTTGTTTATCTGTTGAATAGGGTGTTTGCAAACTGGTCTGAAATTATTTGTTCTGGGCTTGTCCTGGAGCTGTAAATCTGCCTCCCTACTTCAATCCTGATAGGGCTGAGCATGCCAGTTCAGCTCAGCTCAGAGATTGTCCTACTCAGTCACTTTGAATCAAAAGTTTTTGGCAGCCAGCCTTGTCCACTCTTATGGGAAAACTCTGTAAGCACTGGCTTGGGGTGCAGAGGCATCGCTCTTGCTGTCTGTCCCAGCAAAAGAGAAGCAGGCAAAGATATTTAGCAAAACGAAAGTTATTGGTATCTGTAGTAAAATTGTCTCAGTCTGCTTGTAGCAACCTGCTGTGGGATTTTAGCAGATTGCTTGTATGTTCCTGAATTTTTACTAATCCAGAAGTCACACCAACCCAGGACAAGATGCAGATGGGCTGTTGTGAGTATCCCATCTTCCTTCACCGCCCCCCATCTCCTGCTGCCTCAGCAGCAGCATGTGTTGTCTCACCCGCACCACAGACCTTTCCCTCTTCCCTTCCATCAGTGATGAAAAGGTACTTAAACCTCCATCTTTCCCTCTGTTAGGCTGCTGCTGGCTTCACTGGATTGTCCTGCTAATGGGAACAGAGAGAGCACAGTGTGCACCAGCAATGGGGACTTGCCCTGCTCTTCCACTGCTAACAAATCTCTCCTTTCTGGTTTAACAGGAGGAATACGCCAAGGCAGCCTCGGATGCGTCTAGAGGTAAGGAGGGCGCTGTTTTAAGAAAAGAACTGCGTTGCTGGGTTTGCTTGCTCCA